GGAGATAATCAGCCACTGAAAACCCTATGGAGCACAGTTCTCCTCTGACACATATGGGGTTGCCATGAGTCATAATTGACTTGATGGCAACTTTTTTTTTCCACAATACAAAAAAACAGAAAATAAAGCCTTATAAAAGGTCTTGGCTGGCAACGAAACTGCAGATTTCTCTCCTTCCCCACCCCTCCTCCCCACCTGTATCCCCAGGGATGGGCCAGAATCTCCAGGAGTTTGTGGCGTGTGATTTATGGTTATCAACAGGAATATGGCTTTTTAAGGACAGAAAAGCACCGATCTAGAAAAAAGTTAAGACCACTGTATGGCTGTTTTCTTATATTAACTTTTTATATTTGTCTTCTCTTCATAAGTGCTGAGGGAAGGAAACTTGTCTGGTGCACACCCAGCACAGCATATGCCAGGCCCTAGAGAAGTTGCACAATATGTTAATGAGAGGAAATGCGCTCCGTGGTCAGGCAGGTCTGAGTAAATTTTGGCTCTGTTCTTACTGGCTGTTTCTGGACAAGTTCCTTCCTCTCTGAGACCCTTGTCATTCCATAAAGTGAGAATACCACCACCTGCCACAACGGGTAGTGGAAATCTAGTGAAAAATGTCAGAAACAGGGCCTGGAACATAGTAGATGCTCAATAAATGCTAGTGAGTCTGGCGAGGAAATCAACACTCAGAGCCCTGCTTATTAACTGGGTAAGGCCCAAACTCACAGCCCAGGAAGTTCTCATCAGGCTGCGTCCAGCCCGAGGGCTGCCCTACCCACCCACCTCCAGCCTCCTACCCCAGGGAAAGGCCACCAGCCAAAGGTCAGCAGCCATCAGGTGCCACACCTCCACAGACAATGGTCATTCAAATTTTATTTATGACAACTTCTTAGGACACACACATCCAATCTAGGAACAGAAATGTACAGCAAGAGGCTTAAATAACTTTCATACACTATGTACAGTCATTGACAGAGGTACAAAACATATATACACCTTGTGCTAACCACATCACCGAGGAGCACATGAGCCAAATAAAACCCTGCAGCCTGGGCAGGGGGTGATAGCTAGAAAAGAGCTGGTGGGCAGGGCAGTGCCTGATTCACTTCAGGGGTCTTCTCTGACCCTCAGATCTTCATGGAGCAATCCCCACCTCTTTACTCCTGCAAGGCCCTCGGGAAATGGGTACAAAGGACTGATTGGGGTGTGGTAGGGGTTGGGGGCTTATCTGAGTGTCGGGGATGGGGGAGTACAGAATAAAGATGTCATAGAAAAAACAGAACTTTCCCTGCAGATTCTGTCCTTGCACAAAAGAGGGCAGTGAGGATCTGGGAGCCAGGGAAGAAGGGCCAGGCCCGGGAAGGCCTGTGGAGGGCATTGGCCAAGCCCTAGCTCTGGAGCCTGAACCAGGAGGCTATACAAAGTGAAAAGAGCAGCAAGCAGTTTCCTGTTTGGGATGGCGAAGGGACGGCCACCACAGGTTTGGGCCACGCAGTGGGGAGGAGCTCACCCCTCCTGCCAGGCAGGCCAAGCCCACACACTCGATGGTAAACACACCGGGCCCAGGCTGGTTGGAACAACCAAGGAGACTGTGCCTGCTCCCAGCTCAGACTTCATCCGGGGATGCCCCAGAGTTGGGCAGTCCCTGCGGATGGAAGAGAGCAAGGCCAAGGGACATTACGTCCCCTGACTTCACAGCAGCCGCTTGCCAGTGGCGCCACCGCACCAGGCGGTGTGAGAAAGTCCTAGCTACTCCATATCGTCCCCAAGGTGGCTGTGCATAAACTGCCCTCTGCCGAAGCCACACGGCCCCAGACCAGCAGCAGGGCTGGACAACTTGGGGTGGAGGGTTTCCTAGGCTGAAGCTGGGGCGAGGCTGGGTAGACAGGAGGCCGCTTCCAGTCCACAGCTGTTCCTTCCCAAGAGCAGAAGGTGGCACCCTGACCACCTCAAAGGCTTGGGTGTGCCAGCCCCAGCCACTTAGCCTTTCCTTCTTCCTTGACAATCTCTAGAAGCAACTCCAGGTGTGACTGCGGAGAATTCACACTGCCATGGAGAAGTCAGTCACTTAAAGAAAAGCTGACACTGACCTAGTTAACACTGAGAATGGGATTCTGGTATAGGACTGTGCTAGGAAGGGCAGGGGATGAGGACGCCTTCTATCCAGGGGGCTTGCCAATCAGCTTACAGAGTATTCAGAGGGCTCAGCCTGGGAGACAGGAACCCTGGCCAAGCTCTTTAGGCTCAATAAGGAAACTGTTCTGAGGGCTGGGGTCCAGCCTGGGCTCCAGGTTTTTAAAGATCTGGGGTGTGAGATCTAGAGAGGACTTGATTCCTGGGCCCATAGTGTATAGATGTGACTCGGCCAGCAGTGATCCAGCCTCGAGTCTTAGCATAAGAAGCAATATGACAAGTCCCAGAATTAGGGCAAGCCACGGGCCAAGCCCTCCAGCAGGCCCTCCCAGACACCTTGTCTAACTGGACAGAACCTGCCCAGGCTGCCTGCTGTGAGCCCTGCCATTGTGCTCAAATCACAACCATTTTGTGCTTCCAACACTTAGGATGTTTGTGCAATGAGTGGAGTGGGGGCCTGCCCCCTAGCTATGTACCTTGGACATCCCTGAAAGAAAGGGCAGAGACGCCAGTGCTCCTGGAGCACAGCTCGGAGTGTGCAGGGATGGCGGGCTCAGGGCTGCCGAGGACTTCAAGTTACCCAGTCAGTGATGCTCGCTGAACAGCAGAGCCGGTCCCACCATGAGGTAGCTGACCTGTCAGAACAGCTGAGAGCGGGCAATGGCGGTGAGCATCTCCCGTGGGGCCACAGGTCACACCTGGTGCAAGAACAGGCCTTGCGGCTACAGTGTGTCACCCCAGCTGGGTGCCCCCGGCCTGTGGGGGGAGCACAAAGTCTGACGTGTTTCTACAGTTTGTAAACAGTCATGCTGACGGATTCCTTCCTACAGGTTGCAAGGTCAAAGCCTCCTGTTTGGGTGGGGAGGGACGACGATGGGGAAGAGACCAGCATTCCAGGAGATGTCCCTCCTGCAAACCAACTCCTTCAACACCACGTCCAGCAGGGCCACCCACAGCAGGACAGCCTTTGTGGCCTCAGGGGTGGCTTCAGGAGGGTATAGAAGGGCCAGGCCCGGGAAGGCCTGTGGAGGGCATTGGCCAAGCCCTAGCTCTGGAGCCTGAACCAGGAGGCTATACAAAGTGAAAAGAGCAGCAAGCAGTTTCCTGTTTGGGATGGCGAAGGGACGGCCACCACAGGTTTGGGCCACGCAGTGGGGAGGAGCTCACCCCTCCTGCCAGGCAGGCCAAGCCCACACACTCGATGGTAAACACACCGGGCCTGTGCCATGGGGCCTGACCCCTCCATGCTGGGGCCACACGGAGCCGACCCAACCTGCCCTGGCCCAAGAGGGAGAGGAGCCGAGGACAGAAATCCAGATCCACTTCCAGAAGGTCCAAAGGTCACCGTGTCCTCTGAATGGAGTTGGGGTTCCTGGCTCACAGGCTGAGGCCAGGAAGCACAAGACCAGTTAAGCAACGGAAAAGCCAAGTGTGGACAGGCTGCGGGGGGCCCAGTCCTGCAAATTCACAATTTCCCCAACAGGGGGCGCACGAACACTGATTTAACAACAACTCTTGGCCTGTGAGTCCACAGCCCCAGGGGAAAGAGAAAATTAATCCCCTCTTCTCCTCTAATCTAACAGGGACGGCCCCTTGCCCCATGCCACTTTTAAGGCTTGAACATGTGTCTCCTGAATAACTAGAGAGAAAGAAGCTGGTGGGACGACTGTGCTACATCGGGTTAAAAACTCTGTCTCAGTCGGGGGTGGGCTGGGAAGAGGGGCGGGGGAGGCAGGGTGCCAGGGTGCCCTTCCCACCCCAAGCCTCTTCCTATAGAAACAGTACGACAAGCTGCTTCTACATGACGCTGGTGAGGGCTCTGGGCTGAGGGGTGGAGCCCTCGCCTTCCCGGGAGGTGGCAGGCACGAGCCAGAGAGTGAGCAGACGCGGGTGGCGCCATGGGCATGGCTGGTGTAAGGCTGCCCAGCATGGGTGCCAGGCCATGGAGGAAGCATGGGTGCCAGGGAGGGAGGAAGGCACTGAAGCTTCAGGCGGCCTGGCGGCCAGGGGTGCACTAGAGGCGCCTGGGGGCAATGTGGAGAATAGGCCAGAGCTGCAAAAAGTCACAGGGGGCGCTTCCTTCCTCTGCAGAGCAGAAGGAGGCAGCACGGGAGGGTCTTGGGGGCCTGGCCCCCAACAGCTGAGGGAAAACAACATGTGGGAAGACACTTCAAGTCAGTTTCCAGGAGGCAACAGCAAAAAATAAAAAATAAAAATAATAAATAACTGACGCGCTCCTGACTGTCTCCTCCACAGAAATCTTCCTAGCAGCTCCACCTTCGCCCCATCAGAACACCAAGCATGGGACCCCAAGGAATGGCTGGGGCCAACTGGGACTGGCTGTTGGAGGCTTAGGGGTGGGAGTCAGCTGCAGGGCCCAGCGCTTGCACCTGGTTTCTATGGTTACCTGAGGGCTGTCTGTGGGCTCAGAGGCAGGTGCAGTGGCTCTAAAGGCTGGGGGTGGGGTGGGGTGCGGAGGCCAGCTCACCGGAGTGTACGATGGGGGCTGGGGCTGCTCCTCCTCCCCTCAGTGCCAGCCCCAACTGTCCCCTCAGAGCCAGCCCCAACTGTCCCCTCAGAGCCAGGCCAAAGTCCTCGAGGACGGGGCAGGGCCCGCTCAAAAGGAGAAAATTGGGGCCAGTCAGTGAGGGAGGCTGAGGGCCTGCTGGGAGAGAAAGGAGAGGGGAAAAATGCCCTTTGGCTTCACAGCTTAATTTCCTTTCCAACCTCTCTCCCCAAGAGGCTCCCCACAGGCAGGGGAGGGTTTGAGGGAGCAGCATCCTGTGGGAAGGTCAAGGGAGGAGGTGGAGGGAGAGAAGGAAGAGAAGGGGGCCACACCCTCTGTCCCCAGGGCAGCTGGCCCTGTCCGGCCCAGGCCACAGCTTCCCTTCTGTGCTGTCCATGCTGTCCAGGGTCGAGGGTCGGGGGCATCCCTCGGACCTCACTCCTAGGGTGGGCCACTGGGTAAGCGCCGTACACTCCAGAACTTCACCGTCAGGTCACTGGGGTGGAGGACAGAGAGGGGGCCGGTCAGCTCTGGAGGGAGGCCCGGCTGGCTGCCCCCAAGGTATAGGATGGGCCAGAGTCCCAAACTCGCCACAGGTGGCCAGGGCGGGAGGCAAGCACTGCTGGGGGAGGGCAGCCGTGGGGTGGAGGGGCCTGGGCAGAGGGCGAGGGGCCTCAAAGGCCTGAGAGGATCGTGATCACGGGCTTTCTTTTTGCTGTTGCTTTGATTTGTGCAGGCTTGAAAGCTCTGCCTCTGCTTTCTACTCCCTGGCTGCCCTCTCCCAGGGGTCTGCCCCACCAGGACAGGGGGTATGCCAGGCGGGGAGGAGCAGTCTCTTGGGGCCAGGCAGGCTGTGAAGGGAGAGTGGGGAGAAGGAGTAAAATAATCTCATACCGTTAAGAAGCAGCTCAGACCGAAGTGGAGAGAGAGAGGGAAAAGGAAAGAGGGGAAGAGCGAGAGAGGAGACAGGTTGGGGGTGGGTCAGGGCAGGGTAGTGGCGCGGCCCTTTATGGCCAGGACGCGGCGTGGAAGGCAGGGGGTGAGTCCAGGGACGTAATTCCACAACTTGACCCGGCAGTCACTATGGTGGGAGAGAGGGGGAGAGACAGAGAGGAGAGGCAGGAGGAGGTGGGAGGGGTGGAGAGGGAGAGAAGGGACATAGTCGGAACAAGAAGGAATAAGAAGAGACCCGTCTGAGGAGCACCCCTGGGACAGAGGGCCTGGAGTCTCCTGCATGGGACTAGAGCTGGGGGGCTGGCAGGGCTGCCCTGGGCCTGAGAGGCACCTAGATGGGGTCAAGACAGCAAGGTGGAGTGGGGGAGGGACTGCTGTGTGAGGGGGGAAGGTGTGGAGGGTGGACACGTCCTGGCCTGGGGCCCAGCACTTCCCTGCTCCCCTGCCTAGCACAGTGCCTGGCACAGGTGGGCACTCAGGAAGGCTGGCCATGGGCTGGGGATAGAAAGAGGGCACTGTGGGGTCTGCTTTGTGAACCCAGGGCCTGCAGGGATAGCTGAAGGGCCCCTGAGCCTCCCAGCCTCCTCTGCCCACCCCAGGGAGAGGCGTGGGGAGCAAGGGTGGGCCTCTTGCCCAGCACCCACCTGGAGGCTGTGAAGATATGCTTGGTGTTGGTGCAGATGGCATTGATGGGGCTGTCATGGCCCTTGATCTCACCGATGGGTGTGAAGTTCTCCACGTTCCAGACCTTGATGACGCCCGCGCGGCAGGCGCTCAGGAGCATGGGACGGCCCGGGACGAAGGCCAGGGCGCACACCCAGTCCTTGTGTGCGTTTGGGATTTGCTGCGGGAGGATCAGGGCCGGTGTTGAGGTGGGAGGATTGGGGAGAGGAGCCGGCAGAAGGAGCCTAGGCCCCGGGAGCACACAGCCTCTCTTGCCGATGGCAGAGGTCTGCTACAAGCCTCTGCTGCCTTAGAGCGACCATGCAGGCAGTACCACGGTCCTTGGGGCAGGGCAGCACAGGTGGCACAACTCCCTGTGTGCTGGGGATTCCAGGGCCTCAGAGGTGGGGCCTTCTGCTCTGCCTCCTGGGCTCAGGCCTAAGGCCCTGCAGCCCTGAGGGCCAGACTGAAATGCAAATGCCCCCTAGAAAGGGGACACGGTCACTTAGCTCCACATTCAAACCCAGGGTGGAGAACAGAAGCTGGGCTGAGAGCAGGCTGCATGGGCGGTGAGAGTGGAGTCAGGCTGCAGGAGAGGCAGGGGGAGGAGGGGAGACAACAGACAGGGGCAGGCGGGAGAGAACAGGCAGGGGAGGTGGGAGAGAACAGGCAGGGGGAGGAGAGGAGAGAACAGACAGGGGGAGG